CCTACACTTCTACCCCTCTCTCCCTCTCATAAATGGAAACATTTTCTTTTTTAATTTTCTCGCACTTGCATACCCCAACCTCTATCTTTCCCTCATACACATGTACCTTTTCTCTTTTCAGTTTACTCATATTTATACTCTTCCCCTCACCCTGTATACCGACACACCCCTTCTCACTTTTCTTTTTCAGTCCCTTCACAAATTCTCATACATCTGTACATTCCTCCTCATCTTCCTTTTGCCCTTCTCAATCTCCTCACAATTGTACATCTTCCCCCTCACTTCTCTTTCCCCTCATACTTATACACACATGTACACCTTTCCTCTCATACATACGCACCTTCACATTTTCAATCCCCTCACGCATGTACACCTTCCGGCCCTCCTCATGTTTACTCAGACACGTACACCTTCCCACTCACCCTCTCTCTTCCCTCATATTTGCACATGTAAACTTTCCCTCATTCCCTCACACACATACACCTACCCTCTCACCCTCTCTCTCTCCCCATATTAACTCACACATACGCCTTCCCTCTCCCTCATATTCACTCACACATACATATTCTCTCTCACCCTCTCTCGCCTCACATTTGCACACAGATGTACCACTCCTCTCGCCCTTTCTCTCCCCTCATATTTATTCATACACCTTCTCTCTCACCCTCTCTATCCCTTCATATTTATTCACACATGTGCAAGTTCCCTCCCGCTCTCTCTCTCTCTTCTCATATTTCCTCACACATGTACACCTTCCCTCTCTCTCCCCTCACATTTACTCATACACATGCACCACCTTCTACCCACATATCTACTACTCCACGCAGTACACGATCCCTATCACCCTCTCTCTCACTCACATTTACTCACACATGTAAACCTTCCCTCTCACACTTCATATTTGCTCCACAATGTACACTTCTCTCATATTTACTCACCACACACATGTACACCATCCCTCCCCCTCACATTACTCACACATGTACACCTCCCTCCCTCTCCCTTTCCACTCCCTCACGTTTACTCACACATGTACACCTTCCCACTCAATCTCTCACTCCCCTCACACATGTACACCATCACTCTCCCCCCTCTCCCCCCTCACATTAACTCACACATGTACACCTTCCCTCTCACTCCCCACACATTTACTCACACATGTACACCTTCCCTCTCACCCCCTCACTCCCCCCACACATGTACACCTTCCCTCCCACTCCCCGCACACATGTACAACCTTCCCTCTCACCCCCTCACTCCCCCCACACATGTACAACTTCCCTCTCAATCCCCGCACACATGTACACCTTCCCTCTCACCCTCTCACTCCCCTCACACATGTACACCTTCCCTCTCCCCTCACATTTATCACACATGTACACCTTCCCTCTCATTCCCCGCACACATGTACACCTTCCCTCTCACCCTCTCACTCCCCCACACATGTACACCTCCCTCTCCCCTCACATTTATCACACATGTACACCATTCCCTCTCATCCCTACATTACCTCACACATGTACACCTTCCCTCTCTCCCTCTCACTCCCCTCACATTTACTCACACATGTACACCTTCCCTCTCCCCCTCACATTTTATCCACACATGTACACCTTCCCTCTCACCCCCCGCACACATGTACACCTTCCCTCTCATTCCCCACATTTACTCAGTACACCTCCCTCTCCCTCTCACTCCCGCTCACATTATCACACATGTACACCTTCCCTCCCCCTCACATTTATCACACATGTACACCTTCCCTTCATTCCCCACATTTTATCACACATGTACACCTTCCCTCTCATTCCCCTCACATTTACTCACACATGTACACCTTCCCTCTCACTCCCCCTGTTCATCCAGCCCGACACACCACGAGGATCAACAATTATACCGTTATATTGCTCCAGAATTCCAGGCTCTTCCTCCTACACCATCTTCGGCTCGGAGACTCCGGGGAATGCTGGGTGTGGAGGAAGGCGAGGAGGAGAAGGGTGAAGAAGGAGAGAGGGGAAATTAAGAGAGGAAGAGAGGTATTGGATGAGTGGAGGAAAGAAAGGTTGGAAGGGAAGAGAGAGTAAGAGGGAAGGAGAGAGAGAGAGAGAGGAGACGAGAAGAGAGGAGAAGATAGAGAGAAGAGAAGAGAGAGAGAGAGAGAGGAGAGACGAGAGAAGGAAGAGAGAAGCAGAGGGAGATAGAGAGAGAGAGAGAGACAGAGAAGAGAGAGAGAGAGAGAGTGTGTGAGAGACGAGAGAGAATTGAGAGAGAGAGAGAGAGAGAGAGAGAGAGAGAGAGAGAGAGAGAGAGAGAGAGAAAGAGAGAGAGAGCTGAGAGAGAGAGTGGAGAGATTATGATACACAATATCTCTTGTATCTGGAAGCCAAGTACCTGCTCAGAAACGAACTTAATTGCGCTGCAACATTTTGCTATCATCTTTTTCGAATAAAACAATTTGTGATAACGCTACCGCAGCTGTGGGTTCTTGAACATATTAATCAATAATTTTAACTTGTCTAATGATAATAGAGAGAGAGAGAGAGAGAGAGAGAGCGAGAGAGAGAGAGAAGAAGAAGAGAGAGTCACCGGAGAGAGAGACGACGGAGAAGCGAGGAGAGAGAGCAGAGGAGAGAGTGCAGGAGAGAGAGGGCGGGGGGCGGCGACGAGGGCCCAAACCACGATACCCCGGCGGGCGCCCCCCCGGACCCCACCACCCACCTGGGCGGGCACCCTGGTGCCACGTACCCCCCCCCCCCGCGCCCCCCCCCCCCCCCCCCCCCCCCCCCACCGGCCCCCCCCCTCCGGCGCCCCCGAGGCCGCGACACCGACGACAAGGACTAAAGAGACAGACAGCAGCCCACACACGCCACACTGATTTTACCTCCTTTGCACTATATAACGACGGAGACCGCGAGCAGAGACCGAGCAGAGAGAGCTACGACGACACCGAGAGACGAAGAGAGATGGACGAGAGAGACGAAAGAGAGACACGAGACTTGACCGAAGAACGACCCGAGAGAGACGCAGAGAACACCCTGAGCCAATCCAGTGTAAACCAACCACCTCTCCCCATCGAACACCCAAAGCAAAAAACACAAAATCCCCTCCCCGTGACTAATTATCTTGCCCACCGCATCCTCCAGAGAGGGAGAAAGAGAAAACGAATGAGAATATAAAGAAAGAGGGAAAGTTGGTTTATCGGTTTAAAAAGGACTTACCCCGAACCGACTGCCTTTCCGATTGTTGTCAGATTTTAGCGCCTGGGTGGCAGCGCGACGAACTAAACGCCCCCAATTAATTTCCCCGAGTTTAAACCCTAATTTGGAGACGTTGCAGGCATTTTAATCCTTGCTTTTCATCTTTATTTTTGTTTGTATACAGATCGAAGATGGTGGATTGCGGATGTATATGATACATTAGAGCTTTTTCTTGTATTTCCTTGTGGATCATTAAGATTCAGATGTCACTCTGAATAAATAAGCTTTGTGTGCATTATGTATTGTTGTTTTTGTGTGTTTGCAGAGAGAGAGAGAGAGGGGAGAGGGAGAGAGGAGAGAAGAGAGGAGAAGAGAGAGAGAGAGAGAGAGAGAGAAGAGAGGAGAGAGACGAGAGAGAGAGAGATGAGAAGAAGATAATAGAGAGATAGATGAAGAGAGAGAGAGAGAGAGAGAGAGAGAGAGAGAGAGAGAGAGAGAGAAATACAGGGACTGAGACAGAGAAAAAGGAGACAGAAAAGACAAAAAAAAAAAAAAAAAAATACGAAGACGAAGGGAATTAAATAAAGTACACAAAGCATTACTTGAGTAAGACACACAAAGAAGTACGCGTTCGCCTGAACTCATCCGAGAATACAAACAGAAGCTCGTCCTCACATCTAACTCATGTGAACGATCTCATTCTCGGAGTCAAAAACGTGTCACTAACGACATTATTCACACGCACGCACAGACGAACACATACATACACATAGACACACACACACTCTCTAATGCACTATCTCTTACACACACACACACACACACTCACTCACACACATACATAAAACACCACACACATACACAAAAACACTCACAGACCAGACGCCCCCACACACACAAACACACACACAACACAACACAGGACCACACACACACACACACACACAGAAACACAGACACAGACGCACACACAAAGGGCGAGGGAAATAGGGAAATATCAGCATCTTCGGAAGCCGGACTAAGGAATCTCGGCATCATGTGTAAACGAAGATCAGGTCGTTCCTATGAGATCTCCCCTTTGTATACTCGGATCGTCTCTCTCGCCTAAATCTCCGGCAAGACGCTGATATGCAAATTAGAAGAAGCCGGCAGCTAGTCCTCCTCTTTCTCTTCTACCTCCTTTCCCACCTCCCCCCTGCTCCTCCTCCTGTTTTTCCTTCCGTTCTCGTCCTCCTCTTCTCCTTCCTCCCCCTTCTCCCCCTCGTTCCCGTTCTCGTCGTCCTCCTCCTTCTCGTTCTCGTTCTCGTCCTCCTCCTTCCTCCTCGTCTCCCCCTTCCTCCTCGTCTCCTCCTTCTCCCTTCCACCTCTTCCTCATCATCATCTTCCTCCTCCTTCCTTCCTCCGTCCTCTCCTCTCCTCCTTTCTTCGTTGAAAGATCCCTTTGAAAAGGAAAATTTCAATTAGGTTAGGAAGCTCCCCAGAGGTGCGGTGCTAACCTGAAAGATAGAATATGGAAGGAAATGGGAAGGAGGGAGCGAGAGGGAGGGTGGAGGGAGGGAGAGGGATGGAGAGGAAGGGATAGGAGGGAGAGGGAACAAGAGAGAGGGAGATGAAGGAAGAGGGAAAGAGAGCGAGGAAGCGGAACGTCGCCATTGGAGGGACAGGAGAGGGAATGGAATGACGGAATGTGTCTGAGGTTGAGAGAGAGAGAGAGAGAGAGAGAGAGAGAGAGAGAGAGAGAGAGAGAGAGAGAGAGAGAGAGAGAGAGAGAGAGAGAGAGAGAGAGAGAGTGTGCTAACGGTGATGGAGGAAAGTTAGTTGATGCCGAGGCCATCGGGAAATACCCGGGGCGCCGAAAGAAAGAGGAATTGACGAAGGGAGATGGTCGGGCATGTTTGATGTCGAGGGATGAAGTTCGAGGTTGACTTGGGCTCTCTCAGGTGGAAGGAACAACGCTGGGAGGTTGAAGGAATTTTAATAATATTCTTATGAGATACTCTGGAGGCCAATGAGGGCTTGGGAGATTTACAAAATAATGAAGGACGGAGGATTCTACGCATAACGGTGATTACAGTTGATGATATTGCAGAATTTGCTCACGTTTACATAAATGTGCGTGATTGCTTGTATGCTTGTATTTGCGCTTACTTGTTTCTCTGTGCTTCTGGGTTTGCTTCAGTATAATGATATACACTTACGATGTATGCATGTCTTAAAGCAGTAACTATTTTTCATTTTGCTAAAATTCTTGCAAGTGAGAAGTAAACATTAGTAACTTCTAACAGGCGACAGGAAAATGCAAAGAAAAGTTTAGATTGATATTCTTTCAGGTGGACGATATTATTTTTTTTCTTTTATGTGAAAATGCATCAAGAGTAAATACATCAAGGACAAGAATGGTTAAGATTTTTTTTTTCTGCAATGGGATCCCTTTCCTTTAACGACCAATCCCCCTTATACATAACGACCATCTTTTCTTTTCCCATAACATTTCCTGTTTTAACGACAATATCTTCCATTTTTCTTCTAAAGGCTGTCTTTCTTTTTCTTGTAATGACCAGTCGTCCTTTTCCTTTCACAGCTATCGCTTCTTTTCCCTGAGGAGCATTCCACCTTTTTCCTATAACGATCATTTTTCCTCTTCTAACGCCATTCCTCCTCCTCTACGACCATTCTTCCTTCTCTAACGACCATTCCTCGCCCTCTATCTACCACTCCTCCTCTAAAGACAATTTCACCTCTAACGACTTTTCCTCGTCCTCTAATGACCTCTCTAACGACCACAACACCTCTTTTAACGACCACTCCTCCTCCCCTAACGACCATTTCTCTTCTAACGACTAAACGACCATTCCTCGCCCTTTATCGATCATTCTTCCTCCTCTAAATACAATTTCACCTCCTCTAACGATCACCTCTCCTCCTCTAACGACCATCTCTCCTCCTCTAACGACTCTCTCCTCTCTAACGACCATCTCTCCTCTAACGACCATCTCTCCTAAACCATCTCTCCTCTAACAACCATCTCTCCTCTAATCTCTCCTCTAACGACCATCTCTCCTCTAACGACCACTCCTCTTCTCTAAGACAATTTCACGTCTCTAACGACCATTCCTCCTCCTCCTCTAAACGTCATCTCTCCTCTCTCTAACGACCATCTCTCTCTCGACTACGACCATCTCTCCTCTCGACCATCTCTCCTCTAACGACCACTCTCTTCCTCTAAGGACAATTTCACGCCTCTAAGACCATTCCTCCTCCTTTTTCTTGCTAAACGACCATCTCTCCTCTAACGACCACCCCTTCTTCCTCTCCAGACTCGAGCCGGTCCACGAGCCGGGGCTACGACCGCCTCACCGCCGCGGAGGAGGACGCCAACGGCAACAGCAGTCCCGCCCCCCGCCACAGAGCTCAGCCCGCCTCCACCAACACCACCACGCCCACCTCGCCCACTAGCGAGAGCGCCGTGGAACTGGCCACGCCCACTACCGACATGGACGTGGCGTCGACGGGGTCCGCCTCCATCGTGGAGTCGTCTTCGGACTACGACCACTACATGAGTCAGTCGGAATCCGAGGAATCGGACGATGACGACGACGATGGTGAGCGACGGAGCATCATTGTTATTGTTGCTGTTATCATGATATACATATATGCACATACACACACACACACACACACACACACAGACACACACACACACACACACACACACACACACACACACACACACACACACACACACACACACACACACACACACACACATATATATGTATATATATATATATAAATATATATATATATGTATATATATGTATATACACACGTACATACACATATTACATATATTTTGTATATATGATATACATAATATATATATATATATATATATACATATACATACATACATACATACACACACACACACACACACACACACACACACACACACACACACAACACACACACACACACACACACACACACACACACACATACATACACATACACACGCACACACACACACGAATATATATACATACACACACATGTAAATACACATACACACATACATGTAAAACACATACACACACATATATATACATATATGCATATACA